TAGTGGCCAAGGATGCTGCTAAACATTCTACAATACACAACAAAGAATTATCCAGCCCCAAATGTTAATAGGGCTGTGGTTGAGACCCTGAGGTATATGGTAGCAGTGGGGATACCTAAATTTAGGTCAGGATATCACAGACTCCTTGGACCATCCCAGGCCATGGGGACTTGAGAACAAATAATAAAAAAATCCTTTACATTTATGTGTAGTATACATATGCGCATTTGGAGAGTGGAGAAGAATTAAGGTCTTTCATATTTCACTTTGTATACTTATTTCTTGCTTGAATTTTTGAGTTTTTTTTTTAATTAAAAAATGAGAAAAGGAAAAAAAGCACAAAAAGCTGGCAGGTTGGAAGAGTCTTTTGTAAAACTATTGGTAGATTTCAAAGAAGAGATTTTGGAGCAACCCCCATGGGCTTAGGAGGGGCCCTGGTGCCATCTTCTGTGCTTAGCATCTGCCCATGGCCTTCCACCTCTATTGCATCTTCCACTAAAGAGTGACAGGGAACATTTGTTTTAAAGCCAGATAATTTATGCCCAATACTTGGTATCATACCTTTTAGCTTTGTTATATTTGGATGTGTTATTTAGGTTATATTGACTTTAGGAAAAAATAATAACCTACTTTACTGTACTATTAAATAAGGTCACTTAAGTGTTGCATAAACTGTAAAGCACACTACAGATTATCATTAGGCCAAAAGAGGGTAAAGGCTGTGCTCAACAAATTATCTTTTTACTGTCCCCTTGAGTCTAAACCTCTAGGCAAAGAAAAATGAGGACTGGGCTACAGAGGGAAAAATTTGGGAAGGGAAGTGCAGTCAGGAGAAAAGTGATTACAAACTAAAGTAGTAGTACGAGTTACATTATTCATGTAACTAAGAGTTGGAGATAATCCTGATGACCCAGATAAAATCATAAGATGGTTGTAGCCCAGCCCCAGGCCCTTGAAAAGACAATGGTCAGCTTTTTTTAAAGCAGGCCCAGCCTCCAGACCTGAGATGTGAAGAGATGATTATAGAATCCTTGTGCTGTGTTTGGAGCCCAGCAGTCTGCATATTTAAAAATAATACTAATAAAAAAATCTGTCCCTCAGAGACTAGAAACAAAAGGGATACAAGACTGAGTGAGTCATCACTCTTCCACCTAGGACAAAGTCTGATGGAATTCAGGTTTAATCAATGGTTGTTGAGTAGATGAACGAAATATATTCTCCAATCATTTCATGGACCTGGCATCAAAATAACTGGATGTATTGATACATTTTTCTGGCTTATGTGCTTTTGACGGTTTTGCAGGCTGTGACTTTCTTTTCTTGGCCTTGAGGCAGCTTGAGAAGATAAGACACGTATTGGAACTATGTGTGCCTGGAAGGAAAAAATAATGGTGAAAAACATTTATCAGCAGCCTTCTTGCACATCATTTCGCTTTTTGCTCACACAATTTACAGTTTAACATTCATATGAATTCAGCAAATAATATGTAGCAAATGTAAACCCATATATAATTATTTTAATTAAAAAAATTCTTTTTAGCACTGGAAAGAACTTCGTCACTAGATCCGTTTTACAGAGGCCCTACCTGGGACACTAAGGAATTGACAGAGCCAAAACCAAAACTTGCTTTTCCACCTTGGGAAAACCAAATACCATAAACAAAAAATATGCTAAGCAATTGCTGGTCTTTCGAGCCCACTCTTTTGGGTTGTTTTCTAGCCTGTGATATATGCAGACTCCAGGTGCTTTCTTCTCAGAATGAACCCACGTTTCAACGCCCCAAACAAGTTTGGGAACGAGCCTTGGGGGTGGGGGCCTCTACTGGGGAGTCGTCACACAGAAAGGTGCGCCAGTTCCTCTCCGGCCCATCTCGCCCGCTTTAGTAACGGCTTCGAGCTTCTGCGCTGCGGCAGAAGGTGAGCTCCGGCCGGGTCGAGCCGGACCTCCAGCGGGAGTTTCAAGTTCGACTTTCTTCCACTTCCCGAATTGAAAGAAATTATGCGCGCCCCTCCCCCTTCGCCTCTAAACTTTTTCTAGTTACAAACTCGCTTCAACTCCCGGTTTCCATTTCGGTTGCCCGAGAATCGCAGTCATCAGCCAAGTTCACTTAGGCGAAGAGAAAGATACCTTTGTGTACAGAACGAGAGCCACCGCGTGGCCAAGGCCAACCACGCGGAAGCAGGGACGTTTCTGTCGCGAGCCGCGGAAAGCGGCAGGAGGCGTGTTTTTGTTGAGCGGCTTCGAAAGAGGCCGAGGCCGCGGAGGCCGCTTTCGAAGTTGGCAAACAAAGCGTCTCCCCAGTAACCGCCGGGCTCCAGACGGGGCTCCTGCCGCTCAGCCGGCGGAGCGGCGACGCGGGCCGGCCCCGGGCTCCTCCTCCCTGCGTCTCCCCTCCCTCCTCTCCCGTTTCCCCAACGGACGCGAGCCGCCAATCCCAGCAACAAACAAGCCTTCAAATGCTCGAACGCAGGCCCTCTAACGGGCGGCCCCCGCCCTCCCCTGCCCCACATCTGTCCCGCACTCGGCGGAGGAGCTGATTCATCTCCAGCCAGGTCCGGGGAAGGAACTGCGCTCCAGCAACTTGCTGGGTAGCTTTCAGGCTGTTGGTTTACCCCAGGACAAGTGTCCCCGCTTTGTCGTTTTAGATGCGTGTTCCCTTAGGTCCTGATCAGCCGGCAAACCACAGAAGAAAAAAATCGTAAGGTCTCTGCCTTCTTAGAGCGACGCTTTTTTCCTTGTTTATTCATTTTAAGTCCTGTAATTGGAAAAACCACCCAAGCTTTGTAAACTCTGGCCTTAATTCACTCTCCCGGCGGGGGTGTCTTTTTTTGGGAGGGTAAGTGGGTGGGAGGCTGGCTTTAATTTAATCCTAAAACAGAGGCTCCAAAGTCTAGTTAGTCATCGTTTGGCTGCTTTAGTCCTCGGGTTTAACCTTATTTCCACGGAGCTACTCCTACCCGGTTCTCCATTGAGGTTACAAAACAAAAACAGCACAGAGCCGAAACTGGAGGCCGACTGAGGCGCTGACGTTTCTACCGGGGTTATTTACGTTTGGGGATTTTTTTTTTTCTTTTAAGTGACGGGGAAAGTCTTACTGTGGCATGTGACAGTTCGTTTACTTCAAAGTAACAGGACACACCAGCGAAAACTAGACCGAGAGGAGAGGGCGGGGAGGGGGAGGTATGCGTTTCTTGGAATCAGCCAAACAGCATCTGGTCTTTTAAAAGGGTAATTTCATCAAGGATCCCCTGTTGGAGTCTTCCTCTCAACCAAAATAAACCAACAGGAACATGTGTTTACTCAATGACTAGTTTGTTTGAAATACCGGATGATGGAAGGGGTCCCCTAGCAGGGTTTAAGTCTTAAAAGTAGACGCTTTACCGAAACAGATGAGCAGCCCCGGTGTGGTTACCCCCTTTTCATAAAGGCGACAGTTGCCCGGGTCCGAGAGTGGGAATGTCAGGCCAAGAGGCAGCGGGAAGGGCGCGCGCCGGTCCCCAGACAGACTTTTAAAGAGCATGTGAGTATGACAAGTGTCCGTGGCAACGTGTTAGATTTCGAAACTGCCTTGCAATCCAGTCCGGAACTCGCAGCTTTAGCCCCGGGGAACAGTCATTCGCCTTGGGTGTCTGTCTCATCCTCCCCGCCCCCCGCCCCCCGCACGGTGGCTGGCGCAGGAAGAGCCCGGGAGGAGAAGGGTGCGCCGCGCGGCGCCCGCGTGTCAATGGCAGCGGCGCCTTCTGGAAGAAGTTTGCTCTTGCCCCGAATACTTTTCCTACCGTGCCCCGCCCCTTGAATCAGAGGCGGCTGTCTCCTCCCGCGGCTAGAGCCAGGGCCGTGGCGTGTGGGGCAGCTGTCAAAAACGAAAGGAGGGCCTTTCCTTCCCTGGGGTAGAAGAGGGGAAGGAGGGGGCGGCCTGATATCCATCTGTTGCATTTCCTAAACCGACGCACCTTCGTCAGCCCCGGGAAGAAAGGCTCCAGGGAGAAACTCGGGGCACTCGGCCGGCGTGGCCGCGGCCAGACGAGGGATGCGTGAGGCGTGCGCGCAGCAGGGAAGAAGGCTCGGGTTTCTGGGCTTCACCGCCCCCACGAGGGAAGAGTAACAGCCGCCCGCGGGGCTCGGAGTGAGGCGGTGCGGCCGCGGCCCTCGTGCAGTCCTCCGGGGCTG